CCCCAAAACCCCAAAACCCCAAAACCCCAAAACCCCAATAGAGTTAAATACTTGTAATAATCTAGTTAAGAAATAATAGAATATTAAATAAAATATAAAATGGGTAGTCAATTGGCCAAGGAACAGGAACAACTTAAAAACCTCAACTGTAAAATTTTCTAATTCTTCAACGAATTGGACCCTAATCCCTTAAATAGTCAGTGAGAAAGAACTCCAGAAGCTCTATAAAAACTTCAGCAAGATCGATAAGGATAAGTCAGGTACTCTTGAACCAGAGGAGTTCTTCGATATTCCAGGTAAGTTCTATATTTCAATTTTACCTCATGAGAACGTATTGAGATATTTGATCGCATCTTTTATCAATGACTCTAATTTGGCCTTTTAAGATTGCATTTCAATATTGAAATTAATTTATAGAGCTAGCGCAAAATCCCCTTGTCCGTAGAGTTATCGCAGTGCTTGATAAAAACAAGGACGGAAACATTTCTTTCTTAGAATTCGTGCAAGGTTTGAACTCTTTGTCAGCAGGAGCCTCTCACGAGGAAAAGCTGCGTTTCGCCTTCTAAATCTATGATATCAACCAAGACGGATACATCTCAAATGGTGAGCTTTTTACCGTCCTCAAGATGATGGTTGGCAACAACTTGAACGATGTGCAATTACAACAGTTAGTTGATAGAACAATCATCAAGGCAGATGAAGACTTCGATGGCAAAATATCTTTTGAAGAGTTCTGCAAGGTAAGAATTACAAAAACATAACAGAATATAACTACAATAACTATCCACTTTTTTACAAAAATCTAAATAATTTCTATAGATGGTTAAAGACTTAGATGTTGTTGACAAACTTACCATCAACTGCTGAAGCTAAAGAGTGCAAACTTATGTAGCTGCTGATGGATTCATAAAATGTTAGATTTAAATAATAAGTTTATATTAACACATATTGCCCACTCTCTATACTTATGACATTTTCATGCTCACGGGGTTTTGGGGTTTTGGGGTTTTGGGG